ATTAGTTAAAAATGTATTTTTAAGTACATTTTTAATAGTTACTCAGACTTCTTTTTTCCCTCTCCCATTTGAACTTTCCAGTGCGGTTTATTTTGTGAGACACAAAGAAACCAGACAAAGGTTTGCCATGAAGAAAATTAATAAGCAGAATCTCATCCTCCGAAACCAGATCCAACAGGCCTTTGTTGAGCGTGATATCCTGACATTTGCGGAAAATCCATTTGTTGTCAGCATGTATTGCTCTTTTGAAACAAGACGTCACTTGTGCATGGTCATGGAATATGTAGAAGGTAAAATGTCTGATCTGTTTTACAGAGAAGAAGAGAGTTTTCTCACACCAAGAAAGAAAATAACCCATGTGGTACTTGAATTAGAGAGGAAGGGGCTCTCTGTACTCTGGCAGTTCAGTGTTAGGATCTAGATCCAACAGCAAGGTGTTTTGTTGTTCTCCAGTCATTATCTCCCAGTAAACACCTGTAAAACACTTGTGCTCCAGCTGTAATGGGAAGTAACTGCTCTTAAAGTGAGTTCCTCATAGATTGTAATCAAAAGTGTGTTAGCATTCAAAGTTCACGTGGAAGTGTTCGTTGCTTTTTTTCTGGAGTTCAGATTTTCGTTAGCTTGTGACTTCACACTGTGTTTCCAGCACAGTAGTTGATGACATTACATGTACAGTTGAATCATCTGACTAGAAAATAAACATTTATGACTACAATTTCTACATCATACATGGGTTATACTGATACACCTCAGACTTTAGCGTCATCTGGAACATTTGTCCTGTTTCCACAGGTGGAGACTGTGCTACTTTGATGAAGAATATGGGTCCCTTGCCTGTAGACATGGCAAGGATGTACTTTGCAGAGACTGTTTTGGCCTTGGAATACCTTCATAATTATGGAATTGTACACAGGGATTTGAAACCAGACAAGTATGTACACAGAATATAACTGAAAGAGGACTTTGAGAATGTATGATAAAATATGGAGGGTTTAAACTTGTTTGAATATTTGTGCATTTATTCATTGTGTATGCTATGTGATTCACAATTTCTGCACAGTATTTGCATTTTCATTGCTTAAAGTCACAGAAAACGCATTTTTTCCAAAAGAGCTATATAGAATTTTCCATCTCTAAAATGGAAGAATCTATCAGAGTAGCTAAAAAAAAAACCAACCAAAAGTGTTTATTCTTCTGGCTGAAATGCATTTTGATCTTTCAGGAAAAATGTTTTCAAAGTATGCTTCAACTCCTGTTTAACAAAAATATCATCAGCTTGCAGATATTTGCATATATGAAGATAGGCTTGACCAGATTGGGAAGTACTTCCCATTGTAGGGTTTTGGGGGCTTACTTTGGTTTTTGAGGGCGTGGGTTTTATATCAATATTTAGAAATACATCATAGAGGTAAATTAACATTACAACAAGCAGCTGAAGTAAAAAGTGTGGCTGCTGCAGCTCCATTAATCATCATCCTGCTTCACGTTAGAAATAGAAGAAAATGAATTGGAGTCATGACTGTTGATTGATAATACCTTCATAGAGTGATACCTTAGGACAGTGTAGTATTAGTAGCTGACTTAATACCTGAGGGTTTTTTCAAATGTATGACCAGCTCTTTACAGACAGAAAATGCTCACCTCACTTCAAAAGCAGCATGTATTCTATTTTAGGTCTGTCTGATGATGGCTGTTTCTCTTTCTTCAAAGCTTCAAACACTCAGCTCTCAAGACTTGTATAGTTCTATATGATGTTGTTTGTTTACATCTGATAACAATAGTAGCAAATGTAAGACTGCCATATTTGTAGCTTGTTTATTTTGTACCGAGTTAAACTACTTTTTAAGCTTTTACAGTGCTCCTGAAACATTTTTACTCCTTATGGCCATAAGCTGAGACAAGGGAGATTCAGATTAGATATTAGGAAAACTTTTTTCCCTGTCAGGATGTTCAGGCACTGGGATAGATTTGCCCAGGGTGGTGGTGGAGTCACCATCCCTATAAGTGTCCAAGAGGCATCTGGATCTGGTGATGGAAGATATGGTTACAGCAGAGTGGCAGTTAATGGTTGGTCTCAGTGATCTTAGAAGTCTCTTCCAGCCTTGATGATTCTGTGATTCTATGATTTTCCTCTAAGTATTATAGTAGTAATAACAATGACAAGCACGTACTGTTGAATTATATCACAACAACTTCAAATGTTTCTAATTTTCAGCTTATTGGTAACATCCATGGGTCATATAAAGCTTACAGACTTCGGCCTGTCAAAGGTGGGGCTAATGAGTTTGACTACCAATCTGTATGAGGGTCACATTGAGAAGGATGCCAGAGAATTCCTTGACAAACAAGTAAGAAACAGCCTTTTTTATTTCTACATCAAGTGTTCACTTGAAGTGATGTTTTGCCATCAGAATGTACCATAATACTGTATAAGCTGTTGTTATTTCTGCGTTGATGCTCCAATTGAGTGTGTCAGTTACTTTTACTGATGCCCTGAAGATTATTCTAGGCTTTTTGCATTCTACATTAGGATCTATTAGTAAGATGAACAACCTAATTGTGTGCAAGTGAATCTGTGAGAGAGACAAATGGAAAACTGTTTTTATAAGGAATTCAGAAGTCTCAGTAGAGTACTTGTGGAGTTCATTATGCCTCGTACAACCAAGGGTGCTAAAATCCTTGCTATGGCCCATTTCCCTTTAAGCATGCCTCATTACCATTGCTCACAATCTGTTCACTGTAAAAGTTACTTAAGATAAAACCATCACAACTTTCATGTAAAGATAAGGATATGTTGTAAGTTAAATAAAATACTTCCTGTGATGGACTCCCAGGTACTAAGCACAAACTGTCCTTTGCATGACAGGTAGGCAGATGTTGATTATGATACCTCTTAATGTAGCTAGGCTGTTCTAAAAACATTAGCTGTTAGCAAACTCAGCAGACTAAACCCAATTCAATTCCATTTTCCATGGTTCTATATTAATTTACAGTTCAAGAATTACAAATGATGATGACATAGCTCAACTAGACTTGTTTCACCACCATGCTTGTTCTCTTTCTTTTAGGTCTGTGGTACTCCTGAATACATAGCCCCTGAAGTGATACTGAGGCAGGGTTATGGCAAACCAGTGGACTGGTGGGCTATGGGAATTATCCTTTATGAATTTCTTGTGGGATGTGTGCCGTTCTTTGGAGATACACCGGAAGAACTGTTTGGACAAGTAATCAGCGGTGAGGATCATCATAAAAAACCAAAGATTTCTTGGCTTGCTGTGAAACATTAGAATTTCTGTTAACAGTAAATGCATTTGCAACTTTACTGATAGACTAGGTTTTCAAGTTGGTTTTGCTCAAAACCCCCACCATTACTGTAATTCTGTAAAGCACAATTTGCTATCAGAGCAGTAAGAATAAATTCGGATTAAAAGCTAAACTTACTGTATATTGTTGCTAAGTGCAGAAATTCAGCGATACAGAGTATAATGGTTTAACTGCACTGTTTGGAAAAGAAGAGCAGTATTAGTACAAAAGTAGTGCCAATATGGCATAGTGGTTTCAGTCTTTGGTAAGGAAATTACACCAGAGAAGAAACAGTTAAAATAAGTTTGCATAAATGGGAAAATGCCTCATGGCGCAATGAAGACATTAACAAAGATGTAATAAAACTCTAAAAACAAATGTCTCCCAAATAATAAATAATGAGAAAGAGAAGGAAATAAATTCAATTCACAGATTGCTAATGATTTCATTGGTGATTGTTGTAGTGTAATGTTATTTCTGTAGCAGCTGTTCTTCTTCCATTTAAAATTCAATAACCTTTTAGATCTTAACCTGCAAGCTGACCCTAAGTATTGCTATGTGGCTTGTGGCAAAACTGAATGATAATTAAACAGAATTGTTTACTATCCTACCTGCTGTTTCCATAAATTTCCCAGATGCATACATGTAGAGGGTCTCTATTTATGCCAAAAGTTTAACAGAATGGCACCTGTGTGGCTGAGTATTTCCCAGTCTGTTTTATGGTCTGCTTAAAAGGTCCAGTAGCTAAGAATTCATCTAGTTCCTTATTCTCTGAGGATGCTACAAATCCCCTTTTGTGCTGGAGGAGACACTCTGTCATCATCTTGCTCTTCTCCATCTCTGGAGTTGAAAGCCGGACTTGTTTGTAAACTGTATTGAAATGCATGTGATATGCTGAGGCCTGAGTGGCAAGAAGAATCAACTGTTTAATTAACACAAGCAGCAAATGCTGTCTTTTTTTTTTTTTTTTTCTGGATGCCTCGTGGCTGCAATGCATATTCATGCTTTATTTTCCAAATCAGATTATACTGCAGTGGAAGCTGGAGGCAGGCAAACATGAAAATAACTCATGTTTTTATTGCATTTCCAGACACATGCACCTGTGTTTTTATACTCGTGAAAACGGACTGGGAGAAGGGGAGGGAATAGGCTAAAATTAATGGCAAAATGTGCACTGTAGACTTTATTTTGTGTGTGGCATTAATTTTGCATTTCAAATGTATTATCTGTTACAGTCTAGCTGATGTTTATGTAAATAACTTTATCTGTTTGAATGTGTCCATTTATCTTACAGAAATTATCTGTAGAAGTGTATGTTTGTAAACCTCATCTATTCCCACTCTCTCTCCAAGTCTGTTGGTCAGCTTAGTTTCTTATTTTGATGTTGTCTTATCAGTGTCTTCTGTTTTATTTTAAATGCCCTTACTGTAATAATTCTTACTGTCAGTATCTCTAGGAGAACTCTTGTTGGATAAGTTTCTTGTGCTAAAATAAATTATACCCTGGTATCCCACTGTAATGCTGTGTTAAAGAACCCAAACTGTACCCTAGACTTTTATTCCAGTTTCTGTGGGGAAAAATGTACATTCTACTTGAAATTCGACTTTTGAATCTTTCCACTTTCTTCTTCGTTGTAGGTTGCCTTTTTTTGCCCCCAAGTTGTGTAAGGGCAACTGTGGGAGGCCTCAGTGGAGACTTTGATGGTTAAAGTGATAGTTTAAAATACTGCTTCAGGAACAGGTCACATTTCATGCCTGTTTATTCAGTACTGTTCTTTAAACTCTGAAATACAAAGGTTAAACTTATGTGTAGCTTCTGATGATTATTTCTCAAGTTATGGTTCTTTTGAAGGAAAAGTCTAGAATATACTATGACAACAAAATCCTTAACAGCCTCTGTACTTATGAAGCTCCTAGCATTCTGTGTCTCTGATACCAAAATCCTTGTACCCCCTAAGAAACTTGTGCAGAGTTTTGTGTAAACCTGCAATATATTACATTTCTGGAGGCAGTTTCTTCTCAAAATCAGACAAGACTTGCTGTTTGGCTGTCAGAAATTTCATGTTCATAGTGAAACTGGTACAGTTTTCCATTGTTTCATTTAAATAAAAGTTTAGAATTTTTATTCAGCCGCACCTGAATACCACAGGGTATCCTGTCTTGGCTGCATGACTTAAGTCAAGCTTGCCATGAAGTGCAAAAGCCACAGTAGTATAAGTCAATAGAGTGAGATGGTTTTCCTTGGAAATATGAGACTCTTGGAAAAAAACTCTGTTGTCATATGTCTCCAGAGTCCAATACCTTTGCCCTTAGTCATGGGAATAATGACTTCAGTGAGTCTACTAGCATTAGAGGAGGAATACAGATGTGAGCAACAGCCACTGGGTCAGGTCAGCTGTGTCCATCTTAACAAGAATTTCCTTGCAGCACAACTACAATTTAACCATGATTTGTGGGGGAACAGGGAGAAGAGAGAGCATACAACTTGTGCTAGTATTTTGAAATAGTTTTCCATGAGCCAAGCATTCTTGTGTTCTGTTGCTAAACACTGTTTTGGGTTAAAGGATACTTCCGAGGCATATGGGAGCATAATATGTTTATGGAGTCTGTATAGGGAGTATAAAAATTAGAGGTATGCAACAGAGTAACTTGAATAAGTTGCCTTAACTCTGCTCTGCTGCTAGATCACTATGAGAGCTTTCACACAGTTTGTGCTGAGTGCTGGGATCACAATTCACTAGTAACAAACAACTTTCTGTCTCGCTAGACGAAATCAACTGGCCTGAAAAGGACGAAGCACCACCTCCGGATGCCCAGGATCTGATTACTCTGCTGCTTAGGCAGAATCCTTTGGAAAGACTGGGAACAGGTTAGGAGCCACTATTTTAAATTGTTAATGTTCTGGAAGACGCTTCTGTGTGCACCATTGGGAGCTTTTGTCCACCTGTTTGTTTTGCCCGAGGAACATCTGTCAGTACAAGTAGTATGACAACATGCCATTATAGCAGGTAGTACTTTATAGACTCTGTGTTAGGAGCTGCAATGACAGGACAAGGGACAATGAGTTAAAACTGAAGGAGGGGAAGTCTAGTTTGGGTGAGAGAAGAAAGTCTTTTTTACTCTAAGGGTGGTGAGACACTGGCACAGGTTGCCCAGGGACATGGTGGCTGCCCCAACCCTGGCAGTGTTCAAGACCAGGCTGGATGAGGCCTTGAGCAACCTGATCTAGTGAGGAGGTGTCCCTGCCCAGGGCAGGGGGTTGGGACTAGATGATCTGTAAGGTCCCTTCCAACCTCTAAGTTCTATGATTCTGATTCATCAAGAACTACTGCCTTGTATGAGAAAGAGCTAAAAGAAAAGTTTGAATATTAAGGAAGCATTAGGAGCAGTGAGCCTGCATAGGCTAATGAAGACACTGCACATTTATGTAATAGAGTTTCTGTTTGTTGATGGAGCAGGATTTATTTGGGGGTTTCTGTGGGAGAAGTGAAGAATATTGCATGTGATTTTTAAATATTAAAATATGGGAAAACTGGTCACTGCCATCCTACTGGGCAAAGCACTAGGTAAACACAGCAAAGAAATGCCTCATACCTAAAAGAGGCCAAATATAAAGGTACAATCTTATTTATAGTGAACACTGTATGCCATAAATATAAATACATTAGGCATACTATGGAAACCAAGTGGCTGGTTGAGTCAACATGGGAGTACTTGAAAAATTGCTGGCAAAACTGGCTCCAGTGGTCAGATTGTGCTATGTATTTTTAGACCTAACATAAAAAGAAGTTTTAAGAATCAGTTCATAACTGGCCTTGCCACAGTCACTTAGGGAAAACACGAGTATAACCCAGACCCTGAGTACTATTGACACAGTCCCAAATGACATGTCTTCCTTTGGCTTCCTTTGGGACATGGTGACGTGACTGAGATTAATGAACTTCATGTCCCTCGCTCCCTGAATGTCTGGGATCTGTGTGAACAATGCTTAGACTTCACTGTAGCTGATGGTCTGAAGTAAGTGACATCCAGCAATGTTTGTTGCTCCGCCTTGCCTCATGTTGAACAAATTAAGAGTGAGGGAGATGCCATGTAAGTTCTCTACTTGCTGCTTGCTTTGTCTGCTGCTGCAGAAGCACCACTGCCAAAGGCAAAATGAAAATCCACAGCTAGTTTTACTCCCTTGTTTTAAGTATGCTCTTTCCCGGCATTGTTGTTTGATCACCAGGATGTATTTTCCTGTTAAACACATCAAGTCACCCTGTGAGAAGGTGGATTGCAAATTCTGCCTGTGTTGCTACAGCTGGTTGAGAAAGTGAATTGGCTACAAAGAATTGGCTTAACTAGTGAAATGGTCATGGAGCACCTGTGGTGCTCGTTTGGGGACTGATGTCTTAGAAGTGTTTGGTCTCTCTTAAAGCTGGCAGCCTGAAGAAGGAAATCAGGCAGCCCTTTCTCTGAGGCACAGGGTTCAGAAACAGCAGGAAAGTCATGGGTTTTCTAAGTGTTAGAAGCCACTGTCAGAAATGGAGGCTGCAGTGTGACAGGTCCCACAGGGGCACTCAGAAGTAGCACAGTTTATCCCAGACTCCACCATGCATTTCTAATGACAGGCCTACCTGTTTAATACATATTAGCAAGCACTCCATGAAAATTGTAATTGCATGTTTGCTCTGGAGACCTGAGTGGCATAGGCAAGTTGAAGGAAGAGAGGTACTGTACTTATTTTGAAGAAGGAAAATGACAGGAAAGATACTTCTTTGAGTTTAAAGTGTCTGATACTGGTCAAGAGTTCTACCATTTTGATGTAATATCCCATTACTGTGCTCAGAGAAATACTCAGTCCTTAGCTAGTGACTTAAAATGAAATGTGATTTTGGTTCCCATTTGGGAAGATTTGGCTTTTATGAATTTTTCCATGGTGCAGTCAGAAGAGCAAAGAACCCAACCTAGAAATTTTAACACTGAGACCAATCCTGGAGACTTCACACTTTTATTATGGCTCTCTCTTTACTTAGCCTTGACATACAGAAGTTTCCATGCGGTATCAGTGTAGTGGGTTGACCCTGGCTGGCCACTAGGTACCCACCAAGCTGCTCTGTCACTCCCCTCCTCAACTGGATGGGAGGAGTAAATATGACAAAAGACTTGTGTGTTGTGGACAGGGAGAGATCACTCAGCAGTCACGGGCAAAGTAGACTGAACTCAGGGAGGTTAATTAAATTTATTGCAGGTTAACAATGGAGTAGGACAATGAACAATAAGAACAAAACTAAAGCCACTGCTTCTCACCCCTCCCTTCTACCCAGGCTCAACTTCACACCTGATTTTTCTTCCTCCCTCTGAGCAGTGCAGGGGCATGGGAAATGGAGGTTGTGTTCAGATCAGCTTATGCTGTCTCTGCCGCTTCTTCCTCCTTGCACATTTCCCCTGCTCCAGCGTGGGTTCCTTCCATGGGGTACAGTCCTTCAGGAACAGACTGGCCCAGTGTGGGGACCCCCAATGAGGTCACAATTCCTGCTTGCAAACCTGCACTGGCATGGGCTTCTCTCTTCTTGGGGTCACAAGTCCTGCCAGGAGCTGCTCCAACATGGGCTTCCCACGGGGTCACAGCCTCCTCTGGGCATCCACCTGCTCTAGCGTGGGTTTCTCCACAGACTGGTGGATATCTGCTCTACCATGGACCTCCACAGGCTGTAGGGGCACAGCTGTTTCACCATGGGCTTTCACCACAGGCTGCAGGGAAATCTCTGCTCCAGTGCCTTGAGCACCTCTTCCCCTCCTTCTCCCTGACCTTGGTGTCCGCAGGGTGGTTCTTCTCACCTGTTCTCACTTCTCTCTTTTGGCTTCTGTTGTGCAGCAGTCTTTCTCCTCCTTAAATATGTTATCCCAGATAATGCTGATGGGCCTGGAGCTGTTGGCAGTGACTCTGTTGGATGTAGACGAACCTTCTAGCAGCTTCTTACAGAAGCCACCCCTGCAGCCCTCCCACTACCAAAATTGTGCCACATAACCCCAATACAATCAAGCTGGCAGCAAACTGATTTGGTTTTTAGGATTAGATGTATGCTTATTAATGACATCATCTCCCCCCTTCCCTGGACAAAACTTTTGGTATTTCGTTCTGTTCTTATGGATGTTTTTTAACTTAAAACTAGTGCAGTTGTTTAGCAGACGTTATGACAAGTTGGCAATGATCAGTAAGATGATAAATGATACGGTATTTCTAATAGAATTGTGTATTACTGCCGTAAAACACCAAAAGGATCTCCACATCAGCAATAGCAACTATTAAGAATCATTTTGCATTACTTTATATTACTTCATAACTTGTACTGACTCATTTAATGCACATATTTATATTTTTGTTACTACTACTACTACTACATCTGATGCTTCTGACTAATGTGTAGCTCACAGATTATAATTAGTATGTCCAGAAAAGTAGAACTGTTAAGAGGAAGAAGATGATAAAGCAATGCCACCACTGTTAAAGAAATGGTCACAACAAGATAGGGACAGGGAGGTGTTCTGGTGGGTTTAGGATGTTCTGCTGTAAATGGGGAGTGGATGTTCTTGTGTACAGCAACAACTGTGCCTTTCTGTGATTATTTGCTATTTTGTCCATGGGTTTAGTTTAGGAATGTCACAGGATTCAATGTGATTTGCTGTGTTTTTCTCTGGCTCCCTCAGGTGGTGCCTATGAAGTAAAGCAGCATCAGTTCTTCAGGAGCCTCGACTGGAATAGTCTCCTGAGGCAGAAAGCGGAGTTTATTCCACAGCTGGAGTCTGAGGATGACACAAGTTATTTTGACAGTAGGTGTTTTATGGAATTAAAAAACCAACCACACTGAACACCTTGTTTCAATAATCACTGCCTTTGACTCTTGTTAACTGCTTTTGAAATCTCCTTTGTCAGAAGCACTGGCAGCTTGCAGGTTCACTGGTGGATTGACATTTCAGCAGAAATTATCTTAAGAATAAAATTAATATTAAGTTAATATTAAAGGTTGATATCCATTCGTTGTGATGAATTTCAAATGCTTTATTTCCCTTCTCTGTAGCTCGCTCTGAGAAATACCACCACATGGAAACTGAGGAGGAAGATGATACCAATGATGAAGATTTTAGTTTGGAGATAAGACAATTTTCTTCATGTTCACACAGATTTTCAAAAGTACGTAAAAAAATTGCTGAATTGTTAGTGGGTATTGTGTACATAGACATTTTTCTACTTTTACAGTGTTTGGAAATGTTAAATGTAGAAGAGATGTATAGGGTTTTGTTCTTTCAAAAAATAAGTTAACTGAAATGGAGCAAGAATACAGTGAATGCCATTAAATCAAAATATGGGTAGGCTCTGTCACAAAGTTATTTCCTGGATCTTTAAGATAGTAATGGACAATGGTATAAATATGGTGGTATTTTCTGTAGAAAATTAATGATAGCGTAAGAGGAAAAAAAGTTTAGGGGAACCATTCTGTTGAGTGCTGATACATGTTCTTTACATTGTTTTCCTTCTACATGGTTTTCATGTTGCTCCAGTTGTGACCTGACTATCTTGCAGGTGATAGAATGAATGCATATAGCATAACAAAGATTGCAGTACTAGCCTATAGTAGCTATTAATGTAATGACATTAGACTGAAGGGAAGAACCAAGGTAGTGGTTAGCATGTGATTTGGCCAAGGAGAAATGTGGGTTTGAGGGAGTGCTTTGAGTGCTGTGAATTGAAGGTAAAATTGACTGTGCAAAGGTTAGTATACTTGAGAGCTAATTATTACTGGTCAGAGGACACTAGTGTGAGTAGAGTGGACACGCTCAGGAAATACAGTGGTGGGTGGATTGGCAGGAAGTAATGGAAGTTGAATGCCTGATAAGCATGATTTTAGTCTTAACATAGCACCCAGAAGTGATTTTCCAGAGCTTTCTGTTTCAGAAATTTCTTTAACCTACTTTAGGAGTTGTTTAAAGGTATTTGGACAGTCTGTGTTTCTATCTTGTTTGTCTTGGGTTATGCTTTAGGGAATGGGCAGATTTTATGCTGTCTGTGGTGCTACGTGTTGTGTCTGTGATAGCATGGAAGAGCAGAGATAGGAATTGTGGATGTGGTTGTCCTCATTATGTGTAAACTTATTTTGACTTGGTGGTATGTTTCAAATTCAGATACTGTTACATGACACAGTCTCTTTGGAGATAGCTGGGATGAGAGGCAATGGGCACAATCTGAAACACAGGAAGTTCTGTCTGAAGGCAAGGAAACACTTTTTTACTCTGAGGGTGATCAAGCACCAGACAGGTTGTGGAGTCTCCATTCTTGGAGGTCTTCAAAAGCCATCTGGACATGGTCCTGAGCAGCCAGCTCTGTGTGGCCCTGCTTGTGCAGAGGGGTTGGAGAACACGACCTACAGAGGTCGTTTCCAAGCTCGTTCTGTGATTCTGTGAACTTCTGTCCTTTTGAAGATTCTGTTAAACAGTAATTATTTGATTTATTAACGTTACTATGTTACTGCATCTCTAGCTGTGTCTCTCAGACTGTTTGTCAGCCAAGCAAATAAAAAACTTACCATGATCAGAGTTTATTTTTAATAAAGCGTGTAGCCAAGTAATTTATCCTTAAATTCAAGTACATCCAGGTTAATTTTTCTGCTTTCCTCACCTGACTAGTAGATACTAAGACAGTGTCTTGGGGGTTGGGGCTTTTTGATCTTGATTGGCTTTATGGTTGGGAATTAACCCAAGATGTGCATTAATCCTGTGGCTGAGAGACCTCCAAGGCTATAGATTTTGTTTGTACTCTCTTGGTTCACAGAGGGAAATGAGGAGAAAACTGATCAATTCATAATGAGAAGCTTTGTGTACCATATGTGAGGAGCCAAGAAGGCAATATAGGAAAGCATTTTACAAAAACAGACTTTGCAGTTTGAAAGGGTTTGGGAAGTTTGAAGTTTGCACTCTGATATTGTATAAATGTTTAGAATAATAGAAATGTGATTTCCTGCATATCCTTTTATATCAAATATGTCAGTGATGAGTTAATTTTTTTGGTGCGGTTTTTTTTTTCTGTAATAGGTTTTTAGTAGCATAGATCGAGTCACTCAGACTCAGTGTGAAGAAAAGGAAGATGCAGGAGACAAAGCAAAAAGTACTGCACTGCCTTCTGTGGAATCTTTAAGCTGGAGTTCGGAATATTCCGAGATGTAAGTAGAAAGAGGTGCTGGAAATGGTCCTTTGTGGGTAGAAGGCCTCCTCATCTTGGTAACTGCATGAGAGTTTGCTTGTTTTTAATGCAGACAACAGATCTCTACATCCATCTCATCTGACACTGAGAGTAGCCGGCAGCAACGCAGTTCTGGTTTGCTTCCAAAGTTGTCTGTATCAGCTGAGGGGGAGCAGGATGACTCCACTAGCTCAGTGGGACCCCGGGAGGAACAGGAAAAGTCTGCAGTTGTGGGTGAAGAAACAGTGCAAGATGAACCTGAAGTAACCACTCCAGCAAGTACAATCAGCAGCTCCACACTATCAGGTAATGCACAGCGGGTCTCTTGACCCATACATTAGAAACAGTTACAGACCTTCCTTGGTTAGCAGTAGCTTTCATAGATTTAAAGTCCTGTGGTTCACAACCACTTTTAAAAACAGTTTATCCCAACAGAGATCTGGTTTGGGCTCAGGCTAATAAAATCTCTTGAAAATAGGAGAAAGTTTCAGCATTTTTGGAAACACCATTTGGTGTCACCCCACTAACTCTGCAGTTTGGCTAGGCAAGTGGTTAAAACAGTCACTTGATCATAGACCCTTTGTAGGATTCTTCTGTGAAGAAAATTAGTCTTAGATCCCTTGAACACTTAAAGCACTATTTTTGTATCTTCCCTCGCGGAAGTCTATGATCTTTGATTGATCATCCTGGAGTTTGCCATATTGATGTTTTCTAGTACTCTGTACTTACACCATTGTGTGTTTTTAATGATGTGCACTTTTCAGAATTTGCAGTTTTCTTTGACTTGTCAAAGTAATTTTTGTCATTTTTGTCGTTAGTAATCACTGCAAACCATCCCCTATTTAATTAATTTGCTTTATGCATCCCTCTCCCTGCTCAAGTATTTGCATTCATTTCAGTAGGTTCCAGGGCCTTAGTGTCTTATCCACAGATCTACCTCTCTTCAGCTTATTTCTTTTTTGTACCTCACTGTGTTTTTTTCAAGATACACCTTTCTATTCCCATACCCTTAATTTTCCATGTAGTTCACATTTTCCTCCTTTCTGTTTCTGGAGAAAAATATTTCTCAGGCTCATCCAGCTGTGCAACCATTTCAATCTTCTTCCCTTGTCTAAAACCTTGACCATGATTAAGCTGCATCCTAAGTCTTGCTTTGCCCCAGCCCCATTTTAAGGTGTTGGCATTGGCACAGCAGTTGCAGTGATAACTCAAACCATGTGATCCTCTTCTTTCTCTTGCCAGTTACACTTTTTGTTTTCCTGTGGTCCATTAGCAACAGGATATTCACTGACCTTAAAGGAATACTAGGAATTGTTGCTGTGTCTCTAAACAGATGACCTACCCTTGGTGGATGTTCATAAGATCATAACAGCTTTTCTGTTTAAATTTTTGAAGAAATTCTGTGCAGGTTTTTCACATGACACACAAGCCCTTTATTTGGGTTTTTTATTATTGTTTGGTACATTGTGGTCCTTATTCCATTCAGTATTGTGGAAGTTCATTACCTGTGATGGACTAAGACCTGTGTGGTTGTAATACTGAGCTTGGTGGTGCTGGGTGTCTTTCTCCTGTGTGGTAGATAACCTCCCCTATAATAAAAGCAAAAGTTAATAAGTAAAAATAAAATTATACTTGGTTTTTTAATGATTCTGGAGAAGTTGTTAAGCTGATAGCTATTTTACATAGGATTGGAGCCTTTCAACTAGAAGGAGTTTGCATGAAAAATGTGTGATTAAGTTTTCTAAGGTGAATGCTGCATATTGAAACACTAGACTTGCTTCAGCTTTTATCTCCTATTTTACTTTAGTCAGTGACTACAAAAAGCTGTTGCTTCAATACCTTCTGTTAAACTTCATACATCCTCTAAGTCTGGAAGAATGACTCAGATTTCTGTACTGTTGCTCTGTGAACTTGTTAACAGGAAGAAAAATTTGTATCCCACAACTGTACCATTTCCCCTTCCTGCCCCCCAGTTTTCCCTCAATGTGCTTATCCCTTCTTCTTTGTACAGTTGGCAGTTTCTCAGAACACTTAGATCAAATAAATGGAAGGAGTGAGAGTGTGGACAGTACAGATAACTCCTCAAAGCCAGCGGGTGAAATTGTGTCTCATAATGGCTCGTCAGCGACTGGAAAGCACAGAGAAAAAGAAGATCTCTGGGAAAGTCACAAAGTCCCTTTCTGCCAGTGCTTTGTCCCTCATGATCCCAGGAGGTAGATACATTTTGTTGTTGTTGTTGAAATGTTGCGATTTATGCAATGTTTTGATGGTTTATGATGCAAGTGTGAGATTTTGGAGAGTCTAGATTGGATTCTGTATCACACTTCTGTGTTTCTCATGTTGTTCACTTGCATGACTAGATGGTGCAATCTTGTTAGCAAGTTACTTTGACCATGTGCCTGCCCAGCAGGGTGTAAACATCAGTCCCTGGTCCATGCAACAGTGGGATTGTATCTTAGGTTTTTACTAGCTCACCATGTACAGCTCCAAGAATAGATGTTTACTACAGCAGCACATTCAGCCCAACTAGTTCTCTCTTGTTTCCCATCAGAAAAGGTCATAAGCGGGAGAGCAGTGTAGAAATAGCATGTAGGCTCCTATTTGTATTACAGTCACTTGGATGTAGTGCTAAAAATTTAGAGGCAGAAATAATGATGTAAGTAAGTGGAAGTATAATAGTAGCATTGAGTGTTTTCATGTGAAGCATTGGTGCTTTGCTTTTTAGTGGTTCAGAATGGAAGTTCAGACATCCCAAACAGCTGCCGTTGTATTCACATTTGCACAAACATGAGCACATAGTACATTGAAAACAATAAAATAAAATGAAATTGTAATTGATACTTTTGTTGCAAGACATTCTTGTTGGTTTTTATGATGTGGCAGAATGTAGAAATGGAGGCTTGGTACAAGCATTGAGTTAGTGTTCTATGTACCAGGTAGACACTGTGGTTCAGTTCCAGTAGTGCTTATTTGTATCTGTATATATAGGTGAAACCAATAAAACACCTAGCAATTTGTTGAGCACCGCTGGATGATTTGTGGATGGTTTTGGTTGTACTCACAATAACATCTGCTACCAAACTCTTGATTTTCTTTTCATTAGTGTGTGTTAGGAAAGATAGCAATGAGTGTGTTTCCTGTCCAAAAGGAAAAAGCAGTCTGCATCCAACAAGTTAATCCTTGCATTAAAGAATACAGTTTACAGGGAAAAAAAATTAGCTCTAATATCTGGTTGTTGTTTAAACTTCTCTATCACTAATATGCAAGTACTTGAGGAGGAGAGGTTGTTTATACAAATGCAATGACACATTTTCACACTAAGATGTCATACAGTCATTACTATGAGGGTGGTGAGACACCCAGGGAGGCTGTGGCTGCCCCAGCCCTGGCAATGTTCAAAGCCAGGTTGGATGAAGCCTTGAGCAACCTGCTCTGGTGGGAGGTGTCTCTGCCCAGGGCAGGGGGTTGAGACTAGGTAATCTCTAAGGCCCATTCCAACCCCTAAAATTCTATGATTCAGTGGTAAAATTAAGCAAAATTTGTGTGTGCTCGGAATGTACTCTTAAGAGGCAGATTTTTTTTCTTCCAGATGTGTTTGGTGTTTCTCCTTTGGGAAGTCCTATGTCTCCTCATTCTCTGTCATCTGATCTTTCATCGTCCCGAGATTCATCTCCCAGCCGTGATTCATCAATTGCTGCTGCCAGTCCTCACCAACCTATTGTAATCCACAGTTCAGGGAAGAAGTATGGCTTCACCATCCGAGCAATCAGGGTGTACGTGGGTGACAGTGATATCTACACTGTGCATCATATTGTTTGGGTAAGATAATACCTTTGGTTTTGCCAATATACAGACACAAAAAACTGTGTGTAATGATGTATTTGCCTTTTTTTTTTCCTACCTGAGGTGTCTGTTTGTTGACATTTACTGTGTAAATCATGATGACATGGCAAGCAATTTTCTTAGAATTAAATTCTGCCTGTGCTCAAGAGCAGTCTTGCCTGTAGGGATGACACAGGCCACCTGTGGCAGAAGCATTTCCTATATATGAAGTTGAACTTCTGCATGGGTCACTTTGACTTGTGGCAGGTTTGGCATTTGTGAAAAGTAGCATCTTAAGTTCAGGGTACTGTGGCTTAGAAAACCAAAGGGTTGTTGCAGACCCGATTTAATTGAGAGCAGGATCTGCAAAACTAAGAGATTCTAAGCAGAAATTGTTGAAATACAAGTGGAATTTATCAAACTGCATCAATTAAGGGATGAATGAAAGTCAGCAGTGTTTTACTAGACACAAGTAGGCTGATCTCAAGCACTGACTTTCTATTGTGTAGAAATGTGCAAATCATTTGGAATTGTGAATGCCTTTGAGGATTCTGTGGCTCAGGAAAAAGACTGTCTTGGATAAACCATGTATTTTTCGTCCTCTCTTCACTACTTAGTGGGAGACAGGCTAAAGGAAAAAACAGTAGCTTTTTCATTTCATTGGTTGTCAACCTCCTTAATTGTGAAATAAATATATATTTATGGACATATAAATACAAATATGTCTATATAAATACATGTAGTGTATATAAAAATATGTGATTTTGTTTTATAATTTACATGGATACCAAATTCTAATTTTATATCATTTATATATTACACATACATAAATTATGTGTGTATAAACTATCTCAACTACCCTAAAATAATCTTGAAAAAACTGATTACAAGTATGTGAAAATCTTTTAAGCTTTGTGCAGTGCTTTGTTTTAAGTACGTGTTGTAGATTTTGAAGTACCAATGCCGATGTTGTAGTGTATTACTCATTTTTCATTCATGTGTTTACCTCTCAGACCTACTAATCCATCAGAAACATTGAATCTGGAGAATAGAGTAGATTTGATGGATAATGGAATGAAACTAGCTCAATTTCTTGCCACTGGTGTAATATCACACCAGTGAGAGGAAGGGAAGAAATGGTATATTGAAATAGAAGTTAAACCTTGGCTTTTTTTCAAAATGCTGTAGGTTTGTTTAACTCTGTAAGCACTGCAGGTTTCAGTAGTGCTGAGTGACTTAACATACTTCAAAAAGTTATTAAAAAATATAATAATTTCTTTATCCACCTTCAAAAAAATTTTCAATTCAAAGGTTGTTTTGGTCCTTTGTCACCTTTGTTGCTGCACCGTTCCCTCAAATGTGCAGCCTGATGAATATGAACCAAACGGAAACAATCTTTTACTATCTGATGGAGTTAATTTTTATTTTGATTAGGGTACTGCATGTGACCGTTGCCTTCATTGCATCAGTTGTTCCTCAGTGTCAGGTGCTAAAAATCTTCACTCAAATATTGCTGTGGGGAGTGAACCACCCATTCTTTTATCTCACTTAAAAAATGCCCTGCTCTACATAGCTTGCTTAGTACCAGTGGCAACAAGCAGTGTTTCAGTGAGCTTTGAAATCATTCCAGGCCCCATATAAATAATACGTTTGAGTAGGTAGCTGATGGTGAAAGGGCTGGATGGATTTTTCTTCCTCTAAATGACTTAATATCTGTAAATTTCTTAATTTCCAACTGATTTTATAGAAAGAGTTTGTTAAACTCTACTCTTGAAAGTATGAGTGTTAAACAGGAGTTCGTTTTGTGCAACACTCTCTTCACCTCTGTTTTTCAGAATGTGGAAGAAGGAGGTGCAGCTTACCAAGCAGGTTTGAAAGCTGGAGACCTGATTACTCATATCAATGGAGAGCCAGTGCATGGTCTTGTTCACACGGAAGTCATTGAGTTGTTGCTAAAGGTAACTCTTGGACAATTGGGATACAGAAGTGGTTACTGTTTTCACTAAGGATTTAGGGGGTTACGTTTTATCAGATTTTATGGTTGTTGGAAGTACAAACTCTAAGCTACAGCTGCCACAGATCTGGAGAAAGGCCAATGACTTCATATATTCTGCTATGATTTTAGTTTTTCTGCCATCGGCAGTGCTGCTGAGATAGCTGAAGTAAGTTTGAGGCAATGACACAAAGATATGTCTGTGTCTTCCAATAAATGTGCCATTTTCAAGCACTTCCTTGAATGCCTTGATTCAGGTGATTCAAGCTTTTGATGATCATCATATTTCTCATTTTTCTTCTTCTAAAGTGAAATCAGTAAGGAAAGTAAAAACAAAGACTATGAAATATTTCCTTGCCTACTTTACAGGAACTTGCCTTTCATAACCTTAGGGCCCAGAAAGTATTCATCTCATATTTAGCTAGGCATGTCTGACAGAGCAGCTTTGATTAGTGAAATTCTCGTCCTGCAGCTGGACTTCTATGAAAAATCTGTCACATTTTTTCTCCCGTGGAGCTTTTCAATGTCTATCCTATTAGAAAATAATAGTTTTTCCTTAAACAAACAAAATCCCCTAGGTTTCCTTAATGAACAACGGTGCCTTCTCTTTGTGCTGTAGCTCATCATATCTGATATCCTGTAATGTTTTCAGTGTAGGCTAATGTAGGTCAGAATTATTTTAGGCAACTGTATGTTTAAGTCCTATATGATTAACAATTTAGGGTATTACATACAGAGCTTTGCTTGTCAAAGGGAGTGGTCAGTTATAGTCACACAGTGAAAAAAGCACTGGAAAGCAGCGAAGTAATGGGGAAATATAAAGAGGTGAAGGAAGATGCAAAATACACCTTCCCTTAGGTCTTAATTTTCTTTCTCTGAAACCAGGAGGACCTTCCAAGTTTTCTGACTTTGCAGGAAACGTGTAGGAGAAAATTCTGTAATTTTAGGCAGTTGCGTGTATAGTTGTTTTGTGTGTCAGATACAGAAAAAGAGAAACGTGACAGCCCTGCTCGCTACTTTCAAGAGTAAGCTCAAAATAAGAGAACGTTGTTTATTCAAATGTGCTGTATCACAAATTAATTTGGGCTGTTGGAATTCCTTTGAGAAGAAGTTCACTATAGTGGTTTACAGAGCTGAGCAAGAGATACAGGTTTTTAAACTACAAAACCAGCAGGAAATACCTCTGTTATTTACTGAGTCATCTGTTCATGCAATCAGTGCTAAAAAGTTTAGCTTCATCATATTTGTTGTCTCTTTTGCACAAGATGATATGGATGGTTTGGGACTAATAATGAAGATTTCATTTTGCTCCTCTGTTTCATCCTTATAACAGTTGGTATCCTGAGACATGAATGGGCAGTGACTGGACCACTGCACAATAACATCTGTTTTTGTGGTGAAAGTAGGATGTTTCTGTAGCAGCTTTCATCTTGAAAACTGCAGTCTTGGTCAATCCTTGCTCTCCTTCTGCCTAGCTACAATTACTGGAATTACTCCTTGTCCCGAAGCTGGAATGGAGTAAGTTAGGAAATACAGCAAAATTTGAGAACTTTCCCAGCATTGTTTATTTGACATAAATTAGCTTGGCAACATCTGCATAGGGTTCCATGCACTGACAGCTCTTCCTCTGCTGCTGGAGTTATTTCTTGCTGCGTTCGTGTTTGTGGTGTAGGTTGAATTTAAGGCAAAGCTTTCTTGTATTATTCACACGTAAAGCATCTTTCTTCTTTTTGAAGAGTGGCAATAAAGTCTCACTGATGACCACTCCTTTTGAAAACACTTCCATCAAGACAGGACCTGCCAGGCGAAACTGCTACAGGAGCCGAATGGTCAGGCGTAGTAAGAAGACCAAGAAGAAGGAAAGTTTGGAGAGGTGAGAACATGGCGAATGCATATTCTTGTGTGTGTGTATACACAACTATACATTTAAAACATGAAGGTAATTCAGTTTTCTCTCATCCTCTCCATCTTTTCGCCTTCTTCTTTGAGATTTATCTGTCATATTCTCTTCCAATCTTGGTTTGCCTAAACTAGTTCTGCTAAAATAAAGTAGCACAAACATAAATAGGGGGAAGAAAGTGAATAACTGAGGTCGCACCTTCATTTGGTTTATCTTTTTGTACTTGTTTAATTAAACTTTGTGGTGCTAAGTTTATGGGCATTTTTAGTTCGATGATAAGTTAATGTGTATTTTGTAAACACATCACTAGTGCTTTATAGATATTCCATCAGTTTTAGTAGGTTCATAAATTAAAAGAAAAACGAGGATTTATACTTGTAAGGAGGTAACTGTTCTTCTGAAATACAGTGAGTAAATTGTAGTACAAACAGATTTAGTAACAGTATACATCCCACCCATTAGCGAATCAGGATATTTTCTAAACTTCATGCCCTGCAGTGTGGTTTGTTTTCATGTAAATACAGATTTAATGTGTGCATAATGGGAGAGGGAAGCAATGTCAGCTTGCAAGAGTTTTGTCTGTGGTACCGGTATCTCCTGTGCATCTTGACTTCCAATGCTGTGCTTTTCTCACGCTAGGAGAAGATCTCTCTTTAAGAAGCTGGCAAAGCAACCCTCACCTCTTCTTCATACTAGCAGAAGTTTTTCCTGCCTGAACCGATCACTTTCTTCAGGGGAGAGCTTGCCTGGGTCTCCAACCCACAGCTTATCTCCTAGATCACCTACCCCAAGCTACCGTTCCACTCCTGATTTTCCATCAGGTGAGTGTGAAGGAGGACAGAGGCAAAGGACCTGAAGTGTATTCTAGTTTTTGGGAGCCCCCGCAGGTCTGATACGCTCTGAGAGTAATCACCTCTGACAAGCATAGTCATTGAATAGCTGGTTTCTCTCTGGAAATGGGAAGAGTACTCCTGATACAAAATCAAAGGTGTTTTCATGATATAGAAGCATCTAAAAGGGAACTGTCTGTTAAGCTTGTCCAATGGCTATGAGCCGAGTAACAAACAATCCTAATTTGCAGCGAATGGTAGAATCTTCCTAGGAGAGGCTAACTGATAAAAGAATAAGACTCAGGTAAAACTTGCCACATAATGAAACTAGCATGGGAACTCACAAGTGCAGATTTACTGCTGGAAAGATTGGTTCAGTGCTGAAATATGCATCTTTCTGGCTCCTAAAAGCCTGCCCCCTTTTCCTTTTACTTCTGTCACAATTTTAGCTTGTGCTAAAAATGACTGCTGTTGTACAATCCCTTAGCAAAGGTAAATTATCTGGAAAGCCTTGATCATTGCTTTGAAGTGGCAGAAAGCATTAGCTATTCTATTTGAAGAGGAGGAAGAGATAACTTAAAGGGGAAAAAGCGCAGCCTGGAAAGCATTGTCTTGTATCTATGGATAGACTGTAGACAAGATTGAGAAAGTCTTGCCTATCTTATATTTGTTTGCTTGAGTTTTTTGTTCTTTTTGTAGGTACTAATTCTTCCCAGAGTAGCTCTGCTAGTTCAAGTGCTCCCAATTCTCCAGCTGGTTCGGGGCATATAAGACCCAGCACTCTTCATGGCTTGGGTCCAAAGCTTGGTGGACAAAGATACAGGTCAGGAAGACGCAAATCAGCTGGCAGCATTCCCCTCTCTCCTCTGGCACGGACACCTTCTCCGACGCCTCAGCCAACATCTCCTCAGCGATCTCCATCACCATTGCTGGGACATTCAATTGGAAATACAAAAATAGCTCAATCTTTTCCTAGCAAAATGCACTCACCTCCAACTATCGTAAGGCATATTGTCAGGCCAAAGAGTGCAGAGCCACCAAGATCTCCACTGCTAAAGAGAGTCCAGTCTGAAGAGAAACTCGCGCCCTCTTATGGCAGTGATAAGAAACACTTATGTTCACGAAAACACAGTCTGGAAGTGACCCAGGAAGAAGGGAACAGAGATATGTCTCAGAGGGATGTAACTCTTCAGAGTTTGGAGGAGAATGTATGTGATGTGCCATCACTCACACGAGTCAGGCCTGCGGAGCAGGGCTGCTTGAAACGACCCATCTCCCGAAAATTAGGTAGACAAGAATCCATTGATGAGCTAGACAGAGAGAAGCTGAAGGTCAAGGTGGTGGTGAAAAAGCAAGATTTTGCTGAAAAAGCAAGTGCTGCAATACATGAACCTAGCAGTGAGCCAGTGAATCCCAGTACCTTACGACTGGAAGAAAGAGACAAAAAAGCATTCCAGAAGGTATTAGAAAGATCAAATCAGTTTGAAACGAAAATTGTTGCTTTGGAAACCCAGTCAGCTGGTGGCATACTCAAAGACACTCTTCAAAAGAATGCAAACTTGAGATCAAATGATGTTGTTGCTTTAGATGCACAGGGGTGTCATGGGCCTCCCCTTAACGAACTCAGTCATATTTCTTACGACTTCAAAAGAATTTCCCCTCCATGTACACTGCAAGATGTGCTACCTCAGTCCTCTGACAGGATGCTAAATGGAAAGGGAGAAAACACAGATAAAACTGTACCAACAAAAGAATTCGTCAAATTTGAAAGGCTGGATGGTAAACTTGCAAATATTGATTATCTCAGAAAGAAAATGTCCTTTGAGGAAAAAGATGACAGTGTCTGTCCAGTGGTGAAACCCAAACTGACATCTAATGTTCATGAATGCCTTCAAATTAATACAGGCAGACCCATAAACATACAGCAGGACTCCACTGCAGTTACAGAGAGTAGAGCATTTATTGGCAGTGCACATGCTGCTCAGATGAACTCAGTTTCTTTTGTTCCTCTCAAGACCTTGAGTGGCCGAGCGGACATGAGTGTGGAAAAATCATCCCTTATTTCCACTGAGGCTCCTGTCAGAAAAAGCCCATCAGAATATAAACTCGATGGAAGGTCTGTTTCCTGTCTGAAGCCAATAGAAGGTACTCTAGACATCGCATTACTTTCTGGGCCACAGGCTTCCAAAACTGAGCTGCCTTTGTGTGTGCTGCCAGACGGACAGAGCACCAGCAGTGATGGGGCATCACCTAAAACCTCAGTGCCACAAGGGAGCAGTGGGAAGGCAGAAATGGTCTGTCAGAAAGAACAGTTGTTAAGCTGTCCAAAATCTGGCAAACTCAATGTATCAGAGCCTCAGGTTCTACAAACAGGCAAGGGTTCTCCAAATCCACCAGTCATCTCTCTGGCTGCAGAAGCAGTGTCAGAGAAAAAGGTGTCTAGTCCATCTAATAAAGGCAATATTTCTGTCATTGAAGCTGTTCAAAAGAAAGATACCTCCCCCTCAAAACAGAAGAACAATTCAGTGGAGGCGAAGTCTTGTGTTACGCAGAGCATTAAAACTGCTCAAACACACTCCAAACTTTCTGCTGTCCAAACTACTTCTGAAAAAGCTGTAGGAAAAGAGAAACAAATACAAAAGGATTCATCTGCCAAACAGCCAGTAGCCCAGAGAGGCTGTGAGCCTATCCCTGTGAAGGTGGAGGTGATCAGGGAATTGTCTCTGAAGGTATCTGTTTCAGATGTCCTGATAACAAGCTACTCCAAAAGCAATGAAAAAAGTTGTGCTGAGTTCGCCATTCCACCTCAAATGCAAGGAAAAATGCAGTCAGCTGGCCCCAAGGCACAGCCTAGGGGTGTCAGAGAATCACTGAAACAGCTAGGCAAAGATGACAGCAGTGTTGCTAAAAGTTCTGTGGAGAGGGACATTGTCAAACAGGAAGTTGAGACTAAAAAAGTTATTGCAGAGTCAAGGAGTGAAGCTCCTCCATCAAAATGGTCCTTCCAACCCTCAAGAGATTGTGATCATAAAACTGAGAAGCCTGCTCCAGTTTCCTCTGTGCAAAAGGACAATGCCAAAGATTTGGGAAAGAAAGATCAGAAACCACTCACTGAGACAAAGCTCCAAACTACTGAGAGAGACCAGTCCAGTCAAGTTCCTCAGCAGCAACCTACCACTTCAGGCTCCCCTGCTGTGAAAGACACTGTAAGCAGACACTGCACTGTAGAAGTTCATGTAGGTGTTCAAGAACATGTGAAGCCTGCTGCCACCTGTGTGGACAGCAGTAATAATAAACACAGGTCTGCCTCTGACACAAGCTCCTCTAGGTCTAAGTCCTTGGATAAACAGACATTGTCACAAAAACCATGCACTCCAACCATAAAAGAAAAAGAAACTATTAATCAGCTGTCTGCCAATTCCCGGAAGGATGGAAAACACGTCAGTAAAAATGTGCTAGATCACCCTTCTTCTGTTCCAGGCTCTTCAAGAAGAACGAACACTGAACATGTGCAGGCTGAAAGGCCCATGAGTTTGGATCGTAGCTCAGTCACCACCCTCCAAATGAGCAGCATCACCCCTGACACCAAACCTAAATCCTCTGCTGTTGGCCCATTACCAGCAGGCCCAGAGGGTTCTAAGCAGATGCAGAAGCAAGAACCAGCAGGCTTGGGGGAATCTGCTGATAAAAAGCAAGTTCGCTTCAGTGAAAAACAAACCACAGCTCCAAAGTTTTCCACTGTGAAAGACTGTCTCTCACTGAACAAAGAGGCAGACCGAAGTCCTAGTACCGAGGTGATCTCTGCAGACAAAAGACCCGAAGGAAAAATATGCACTGACGCACTTTACGTTCAGCTTGACAGTGGGAAAGTAGAGCCTACCCTTTGTCTCTCAAACTGTGATGCCAGAGGGAAAGGAGCAGAAAAAACAATCACAAGTAGCAAAAGCTCTCAAGATGCAAAAGGGAAGGGACAAGCTAACCAGAAACAGCCAGAGGATGCAAACAAGCAGATTGCCATAAAACATCTATCAGCTGCCAGTGGGCAGAGTTCTTCTCGTGTGGCTGCAACACCAGGAAAGACACTGACTTGTTCGTCCAATTTCTCTGAATGTAGGCAGGAAGTATCTGTTTTGTCTTTGGCGAGGAGTGATGCATCTTCAGCAAAGGTTAAAGCAGGCTCACCTGAGCTTCCTGCAACTTGCAAGGAGCTGAGTAAGAAGAGCACCTCTTCTGCAGGGAGCAGCAAGGCAGAAATGACTAAAAGCGTTTCACTGATGGCCTTGCACAGTGTTGCTGTTGTAGCAGAAGCCCATCACCCCACTTCAAACCTTGGGGGGAAACCTGGAAACCAAGAGAAGTCTCTTTTTGTTAACACTGTGGATGTAAAGGGAAGAGATGTTGTTCCAGCTCAGCAGTCTGCTTCAAAAAAACAGAATGTAGGTAAAGATTTATCCAGGTCGGCAGCCACACTTGACCGCCCTAACGCACTTTCAGACGACAAAGACTCAGCTCGGCAGCGTCGAGGAAAGGAACCTTCGCGGAGCAGCACTCAAAAAAAGTCCTGTTAACTGTAAGACCTGGCGAAGTGTGAGCTCAACACTAGCTGAAACCTACTTCAGTATGTTGTACTGCCTTTAAACCAGCACTGTGTCGTGTCTTTGTGCGGCAAAGCTTTCATGTCACTGAAGAAACAATACAAGGGGATATGTAAAGAGAGGACTTTTTTTTGTTTGTTTTCTTTCAAAATGCCTTTCCAATTGTAACCGGTAAAACTGTTACCATATAGTATTTGTACAAAAAAACCTTTGCAGCCCCGAGCTGTGTTGAAGAAAATGTTTCCTCTGTAAATAGTTAGCGACATGTTTGGGGTTTGAATG